TGGCCATGGGGACAGAGGGGGCGCAGGCAACGCCCCCACCAAAGGGTCCCCAGCTGGGGATGTCCCCAGGGCTGGTCAGAGCCCCTACCCCCCCTCACACCCCTGCAGCAGTGCCTGGGAAGGCTGCCCGGCTGTCCCACTGCCCCATACCTGCTGATGACTTTCCACTCGCACAACTCCGACTCCGTCACGTTCCTCATCAGGTCAACGAAGGACTCCCAGCAATCCTGCGTCTTGTTTCTGTACATCTCCTCTGCAGGGGAAAGGTGCTGAGTGTGGGCAGCGCACCCCTGCCAGACCCCGTCCCTGTCTGCGGCTGACACCCGCTGACACCCGGCACCCAGACCCGTGTCCAAGCCGGCAGGAGGGACGCAGGCATAGTGGGGGGCCAGACCCCTCAGCAGCCCCGGGGTGATGCCAGGGAGCACAGCAGGAAGGAGGGCTGCTGCCAGCTCCGGCTATTTTGGGGATGGACAGAGAACATGCAGCCAGGGAAAAGGCGGGGGGGTCACCCTGCAGTGCAGAGCTAGCCCCGACCAGGGCACCGTCAGCCCCGCGGCGCTGCCTGGCCCTTGCCAAGCCTTGGTACTCACCCACAGGCTGGGCCGTAAAGTTGCACATGGCCACGGGTGGGCTCGTCCTGGCATCCTGGCCAAAGCCCTCTGCATCGGTATCCACATGGCAGAGCCCGGGCCCCAGGAGCGCTGCGGTGGGGAGGGGACAGGGTTAGCTGGGGCCAGGTGCTGGCAGGACCCCATGCACAGGAGCTGCCCCAGCAGAGGCTGGGGTTTGCAAGTGGGAAATGATTTTGGGTGTCCCAACTAGAGCTGGTGGTCAGGGTGTGGGGAACCATGCTGCCCTGAACCCGGCACACGCTGGGGCCAGGGCATCCAGCCCCCTGTACGGGTAGGGGCTGTGGGGAGGGGACCAGCCAGGCTGCGCGCAGCTGCCCAAGGGTTTGGAGGGGCTGTCTGGGGGCTGCGGGCCACAGCAATGGGGGTGAGCCATGCCCCCCACCGACAGGGAGCTAGCGCAGGGGCCGCCCCATTGCCCCGGGTGGCTGCGTTGCAGCCAGACAGGGCTGGAGCAGGAAGAGGAAGCGCTGGCCGCAGCGTGGCACTGCCGGAGAGCCCCTCCGCCCGCCATCTGCCCCACGCCCAGCACAGCCCGCCAAGGGTGTGGGGCATGTGCCGCCTCCCCCCCCCCGCCAGCCGCTTGCCCACCGCCTGGCCCACCGGAGCCCCACGGCCTGAGGAAACCGCCCCATCCATCTTCCGCCCTCGGCTGAGAGCCCACGGCGTGGGGCAGCGATGCCAGCCGCATGGTGAACCACCCCGTGGGCACTGCCTGGGCTGCTCATGCGGAGCTCAGGCACGGGCAGGCACTGGCCACAGGGCGCTCCCAGGCTGGCACAGTGGCTGTGGCAAGGGCAGCCCCCCCGTCCCTGCCCCTGCCCCTGTCCCTGATGGCTCCGTTCAGCCCCTCTCTGTCCCAGCCTGGGGTTTCACAGGGCTCCCCAGCCATTCTTGTGGATCATTTGTGAAAAGATCAGGGATGAGCATGGTGGGGGATGCCCCACCGTGCCCGCCTGCCACCAGCCCCTGGCCACACAGGCTGACAGCTGCCCCAGCTGCCCTCGACACCGCAGGGCTGGCCCCATGCTGGGGTGGGCTTATCCGAGGCCAAGACCCCAGCCCTGGGCCCCACGTGCGGGAAGGCGGCAGCGTGCAGGGTGGTGCGAGGCGCGGAGCCTCCCGCCACCGACAGCCACGGCCCCGGGGCTGCCCCCCGCGCACTTACCCCAGAGCAGCAGGAGCCCTCGGGAGAGCCGGCCGGAGCCCGTCGGCGTGCGCGGTGCCATCCTGCAAAAGCCTGCCGGCTAACGACCGGGACAAGAATTTCAATGGAAATAACAGGAAGCAACTCCTTTCCTCTGACAGGAGCAGTTTGACTACAGGAGACGTGTGAAAAATGAGATTGCTCAGCACTGCTTTAAAGCAGCTCTCCCGGCGGGACCCTGCCGCCGCGCAGCGCGGTGCTGGCCCCCACGGGCATCGCTCCCGCGCCCCGGTGCCCGGGCA